CAGGGAAAATATAGTGACTCATTTCTATCGCAGCAAGAGTCTTGAAGGAATGAAGCACATGGATTTCAGATCTGATCCATAACACAAGCTGGTCGTACTGTGTATCTGTGTGGTGTGTCATACTATTGCTGCCCTTAACACTAATTTATTACTGAAAACCCCCTGGAAGTTTCCTTCGGTGCTTTCTTCAGAAGTACATATATGATCAACCTAAAACACATTGCTGCCTGAGGTACCTCCACAAGTTATTTTTCAGCCATTCCACCCTGGTTCCAGAGCATCGCTTAGTTTATGATGGCAATTGCTTTTGTGGACTAGGGTCCAGTAAATTAAATGCACAGAATGCTAACATGGAAGCCACCAAAATTGAAACATGTGGGTGTGGAATGGGGTGAATGTTATAACCAGTGAGCTCTGAGGGAAACAGAATGTCTAAAATACGGACTGTGCTGATTATATTACATCTTAAATATATCTAAAATAATTAGTCCTTACTGAAAAGGAAGTTTGGATAAGAACTCAAGCATCCTAGCAATCAAGACCCTTTTTAATTTACATTCAGTTCCAACCTGCCACCTAGTGGAGGCAAAGCACCGATTCTTTTTCTTCCCTTTTTATATTGCTTTCTAGAACTTGTTTCATCTCAAAAAGATCTGAAAGCTCTTTACTGGCTGGGTTAATTAACTGGGCTTTACTACAAAAAAAAGAGATCAGCATCGTTGTCTCCCTTTGATAGGCACAGAAGCAAAACTATACAAAGATTACACAGTCAATTTCCCCTCGGGATCAATAGCAGAATCCAGAGCATTGGTTATTGCTCGTCCAGTTGAGAAAGCCCTTGAATGATCTTGGGTCCATTTATACAGTTGTTGCAGGAATAAACTGGAACAGCCCAGCAGGAGCTTAGAACTAACTATATATGCTGCCTTAAATTAGACTCCTTAAAAGCTGGACTCAAATGCAAGGGACCTGAGTTCAAATCCCTCTTCAGTCATGAAACTCGGGAGATAACCTTGGGCCTACCACATTCCTTCCATTTGACTTACCTTACAGGGTTGTTGTGAGAAGCAATGGGGAGAAGACATGTGCACACCAGTTTGAACTCATTAGATGAAAAGGTAAAGGTTCCCCTTGACATTTAGTCCAGTCGTGTCCAACTCTAGGGGGCGGTGCTCCTCCCCGTTTCCAACCCATAGAGCCAGCATTTGTCTGAAGACAATTTCCGTGCTCATGTGGCCAGCGTGACTAGACACAGAACACTGTTACCTTCCCACTGTGGTGGCACCTATTTATCTACTGTACTCGCATTTTTGCATTTTGCATGCTTTCGAACTGCTAGGTTGGCGGGAGCTGGGACAAGCGATGGGAGCTCCCTCTGTCGTGTGGATTTGATCTTACGACTGCAGGTCTTCTGACCTTGCAGCACAGAGGCTTCTGCAGTTTAACCCGCAGCACCACCATGACCCATTCATTAGATGAAAAGTGGGTAATAAATGTAACAAGTAAATGTCTAAATAGGAAAACCTTCTTAGGTATATCAGTAGACCCCTAAATACCCTTACTATGAGCCACCCATGCCCGGGGGTAAAACTCATGCCCCTCTCTCTTAATTCAAAACTGCTACTATTACACAACACTTAAGTCATCATCTTACTTCCTAAGGCTGTAAGATTTGTTTGGTGTAATAGGGCCTGTGGCTGCCTAAATACGCATACAACTAGACACACACAGTGTTTTTTTTTCCAAATGTAGACAGCCAACCTGAGACATTCCGATGGCTCTGAGGCCAAACATTCAAACAACCCCTAAACATATGCAAGACCCTAATGTTGGGAAAGTGTGAAGGAAAGAGGAGGAAAGAGGATGAGATGGGTGGACAGTGTCATCGAAGCGACCAACATGACTTTGATCCAACTCTCCAGGAGGCAGTGGAAGACAGGAGGGCCTGGCGTGCTCTGGTTCATGGGATCACAAAGAGTCGGACACGACTAAATGACTAAACAACAACAACAACAAACATATGCAAAGCTGCAGGAAACAGAACCCTTCAGGAAAGGTTCCTGCTACGGTACCGCCCATGTGCAGCTTCAGCTAACAATGTGTGAGCACACAGGTTGCCCAAGAGATTATTCCATACAAACCGGATCTGTTTTTTTTTCTCATAAGGTGGTGTGTGAAGAATTGTTTCCAGTCTGTGCCTTCCCCCTTCCAATGCACCACATATGGCCCTATTAAGAATGGCTGCCCTGGCCTAAAGGTACATTTGCCATTGCCTGCTTCATAGAATCATGGCCCTCTAAAGCTGCAAGGGAGCCCAAGGGTCATTGAAGCTAGCCCCCTGTTAGGGCAGGAATTCCACAGCTAAAGCACTCCTGATAGGTGGCCATCAACCTCTCCTTAAAAATCTCCAGTGAAGGAGAGTCCACCACCCTGCAAGGCAATTCAGTCTATTGTTGAATGGCTCTCACTATTAGGAAGTTCTTCCTAGTGTCCCATTGAAACATCCAGATGTTTGTTTTAAATATCCCTCCCCAATGTTCTCCCCCCTATCATTACAGATCTGATAGAGCATTGGTTCGCTAGGGATAATTAATACTAAAGGTGAAAATTATGAGGTTGAAATCAGCTATTTATTTCAGAATATAGGACCTTGTTTACCCACAACCATGCAGAACCAACACAGCTTGGTTAAAAGCCAATAACAGTTTGCTGTGTACAGTTTAAAGCCTATTTTTTCATGAAGTGCTACTGCACGCTACCATAGAAACTATGTACTACAAAGGGTAGGTTAATGAGTAACCACATAAATGTTAGCATACAAAAGTCATAATACTGAAAACTACTTACTTCCAGTCTTGCAGTATTAGTTCCAAAAAATAAAAGTATTTGCTCCAGAAATATTATTCATACTTTGAAAAACGATTTCAAGTGTTTAAAGGAAAGCTAGCCTCTCAGATTTGGAAAGGAAGCTGGCAATGTTTGCATGAAGCTGCCCTTAAGCAGAGCCATTTCCAACTCATCTAAAGTTTTCTATCAAGGAAGATCTCCTCTGAATCAATTAACACAGAATATAAAATAGTGAAATCTTACAAATCAGGTCTGGCTGAAGAATATAAAATAGTGAAATCTTACAAATCAGTGAATCAGCTCTGGCTGAAGGCCAGAGGTTAGGAGTTTGATTCCCCACTGTGCCTCAAAAAGCTGGCAAAAGACTAACTGCCCAATTTCCCTATACATGTCTACTCAGAAGTAAGCTCCACAAGCTCCCGTATTATGGGTTGCAGTGAAAAACCTATAATTCAAGACAGCTGGTGCCTCATTCTTCCGCTTTAGGATAAGGGCCCTTCCTGATGATGCTCAGGATTACCAGACGTTTGTAGGAATAAGACAGCAGCCTAACAGTGCAATCCTATCATTCTTATGATGTGCAGTGGAGCTTGCCTTATATTTATTGTATTTAAGAAATGCAGTCTTTATGAATATAAACTGATCGTACACTTTAAAACAGAACAGAACAGTCTATTTTTTTAAAAAAACTTGTACACTTTAAAACACAGAGCTCTAAAAGCTGACTGAGAATGTGTCATAATCTTTATCAATGGAGTGCTTTCATCTATCTTCAGGTGAATTAACTTCTGTTTTTCCTGGGTGCCACTGCAGAGAAGCCTACTTTGTATATATGATGTTTGTCTTGGTTATTCACTACAAAGCTCGTTTTGGCTGAATCATCCTGAAAACTTGTTCTGGCCAGCACAGCAGATCACCAAGGCTCCTCCTTTTGTGTCATAATCTTTATCAATGGAGTGCTTTCATCTATCTTCAGGTGAATTAACTTCTGTTTTTCCTGGGTGCCACTGCAGAGAAGCCTACTTTGTATATATGATGTTTGTCTTGGTTATTCACTACAAAGCTCGTTTTGGCTGAATCATCCTGAAAACTTGTTCTGGCCAGCACAGCAGATCACCAAGGCTCCTCCTTTTTGTTGTTGAATCATCCTGAAAACTTGTTCTGGCCAGCATAGCAGATCACCAAGGGTCCTCCTTTTTGTTGTTGTTTAGTTGTTGTGTCTGACTCCAGGCCCTACTGGAAAAGCCATAGCTTTGACCATGCGGACCTTTGTTGGCAAGGTGAAGTCTCTGCTTTTTAATATGCTGTCAAGGTTTGTCATCATTTTCCTCCCAAGAAGCACACCGTCTTTTAATTTCACAGCTGCTGTCACCATCTGCAGTGATCATGGAGCCCAGGAAAATAAAATCTGTCACTGCTTCCATATCTTCCCCTTCTATTCGCCAGGAGGTGATGGGACCAGTGGCCATGATTTTGATGTTGAGCTTCAGACCATTTTTTGCACTCTCTTCTTTCACCCTCATTAGCAGGTTCTTTAATTCCTTCTCACTTTCTGGCATCAGAGTGGTATCATCTGCATATCGGAGGTTGTTGATATTTCTTCCGACAATCTTAATTCCGGTTTGGGATTCCTCCAGTCCAGCCTTTTGCAGGATGTATTCTGAAAGGGCAAAAGACAAGCAGGACCGACAGCAAAATGTTGCAGTGGGGAGCCCAGGGTTACAGTCAGTTGACGAACAGTACGCGCTTCCACTCGATACCTGCCACATCCTGAGGTCACTTAATTACATATGTTCTCTCCGAATTTAGGAACCCTTAGAAGTTCTTCCGCTAAAGGGCTGCTCTCGAGCTTTCCCTGCCCCTGCTGATACCTTCCTCTTGGGTGCAGATATAGGGACTTCGACATCTACAAAGACTGCCTCTCTTGAGTTGCCCAAACCTATGACACTGGGATACTTTTTGCATATCACAAACATGCGTGTCACGGTGCGCGAATTCTGATCTTGTGCCAAGAGCCCTACCTTTACCATTAAGCAATTGGAATGCATCGATGATGATGATGGGGATTTTGGACACCGTGTTCCCGGGTCCTGCGAGAGGGCAAGGCAGCAATGTTTAGGGGCGGAGCCCGTTTCCCGAGTGGGCAGGGCGCGGCGGTATTCCTGCCTCTCCAGGGAACGCTTTCCGGCGATGTTTGTCCCACTAGGCAGCCCGTCGCGTCACGTGGCTTCACCTGGGCTGAGGTGAGGGCGGGGCCCTCGACGCCGTTTACCTGGCTGGGCAGGTAATGCTAAGGCGGGGCCGGAGAGGGCTGATCCTGGGGGCCGGGGCCGAAGGGGTCCTCTTTGCGGTGGTGGGAAGGTCAGGGCGACCCCAGGGAGACCTCCGCGGACAGAGCGCGCCCCCCTCCCAGACCTGCCTCCAGGTGCTGCACAGGTGTGAAAGGGGGACCCGGCTCCCTTCGATGCCTGCCTGCCTCGCTCGCCGCCCCCTCCTTCCGCCCGGAGCCTCCCCTCCCCGTCGCTCGCGTGGGTCCCTCGCCGCCTCGCCCCGTCCCCAGCCGGTGGGGAGCCGCCTTCCTCGCTGTGACCGACGCGCAGG